CGCGGCCCCCCGGGCCCCGCCCCCGGCGCCAGGCGCGCGCCCCGCAGGCCCCGCCCCTCGGGGGCGCCTGAGGGAAGCGACCCCTTGCCGCTGCTGAGGGTGCTCGGTGCGGGAGCGCCTGCAGCGCTGCCTCACGGACACAGAAAACACGGGATAACCCGACAGAAGGGATGCCTGCCCTTTTGCTGAGGGGATGGGAGCAATTCAGCCAAATGCTTGCGTGCGCTTCACGTCGCCTTTTGTTCTGCAGAAAAAAAAAACCAACCCACCAAGTAGAAGAACCAGGTGTGAGCTCTGCAGTCCCGAGGGGAATGCAAGAGCTGCTCTCCTGCAGTTACACAGAACCAGTTAGGTTGGAAAAGACCTCTGAGATCATCGAGTCCAACCTGTGACCGAACACCACCCGGCCACCAGACAATGGCACTGTGAGCCACGTCCATTTTTTCCTTAAACACCTCCAGGGACGGTGACTCCACCACCTCCTTAGACACATTGCAGTGTCTAATCACCCCTTCTGAGAAGAAACTCCTCCTGTTGTCCAACCTAAACCTCCCCTGGCACAGCTTAGACTATGTTCTGCAATAGTAACTCTCGATGTACACGTACATTTACACATTTATTTTTTTGTGACACCAAGGTAGTTGGTATCAAAATGCACCTGATACAGGGACACGGAACCTCGGAGCAAAAATGTCTACTGCTGCCAGTGTTCCAGAACAAAGGGAGATTAACTGCTAGGGATTGGTGTTATTTGCATGCAATCTGTTGCATTTCTGCCAGAAAAGGTTAAAAAGAGAACTGTCAAGGTTTAGGAACTATCTGTAGTTCAGTGAAGCTTTAAATCAAGTTAACATTCTCACAGCCCTTGGGTGATTTTCATAATATCTGTAACGTGAAGTGTGTTTTTCACTTCCTAGTAGAAGACAATCAGTTATGTGAGCAAATTGGCTGGACAATTATGCAAATGAAAAAATAAATTTAATTGATTCAACAGAAAAGCACGCTATTTGTTTCACCTGGAATTTATTTTAACTTGTTGAGGAATAAAATAAATTGGGAAAGGTCATCAGCAAGTGCCAGTGCCAGATACCAGCTCCACTGCTTAGGGTACACATTTTCAAACAGAGCACCCCCATCCTGCCCCAGCTCAGGAATTAATTCCTGCTTTTTATCTAAGTCTCAACATTTACTGTGCTGGTGGGAGTACTGCTGTGGCTTTATCTGGTCACAATATTCCCTATCCATACCCAGAACACATCCCACTAGGTCAGCAAATGCTGATTTAGATTTCTAAACAGAATTTTATACCAGATAAAATTATAATCTGAAAAAGTTTGTATTTTGACCTCTTGAGCCCTAACAGAGAATTTTAAACATTCTTGCGTCTTAATTCTAAGTTGCTACAAGTGGCAATTTGAACTGTTTTCTTCCTTACTCATTTCTGTTTTGGTCCTTGGTCTGTGGAAGGTCAAAAAATAGCAACAGCTTCTCCAATCCTATCACATGCAATGGTCCAGAACTCTGAGACAAGCATGTCAGTATCATTCTGATACAACACATCATTCTAGTAATTAAAAAAAAAAAAGAGTTATGCAGGAGTTTAGACTCAAAAATAATAGAGCTGGATTTGCAAAAAAACCCCTCTCCAATAAAACTACAAAGGTGCAAGATACATCTGGAGAATGTGAAAGGACAAGAAATGTGAATAATTGCTTTTACTGTGGCTAAAGTTTATTACGCTGAGAAGAATGACATTGAGACTTTAGTAATTAAACTTCTACTACTACAGCAGGGATATTTAATTTTACTATTTCTCCTCAAGTGAAACTCTTACTAACATCCATTTGAATTCTTCAGTGAACTGAGCACAGCCTGTAACCCTGGCTGTAGCCTCCACTTCCAGTTAAAGCTGGAAGCTGGCCATCTCCACAGCTGGGAGTTTCAGCCCAATTTATTCATGAGCATTTGCTCCATTGTGGGCTCTGGAGTGATGAAGAACTGCATAGTCTGACTGATTTCACACTTTCTTAACCTCCTCATGCGGCGTATCATTCTCCAGGCTCTTGTAGTGCTTACAAGATATTAAACTCTCCACCTCTACTTTGCTGCTTGCCTATCTTGCTGCATCTAAGAGTGTTCATTACAGGAATTTGAATATAATTAAATAATTTAATGACAATACAGACTCAGATATTTTGAATGCTTTATATAAATATTAAAAAAACATTTATTAACAACTTAACAACTCCTCCAAAATGCTCCCCCTTCCTCCCCCATTGCTCTTTATAAAACACCATAAACCATCAAGGTCCTACTTCCAGCTTCTCACCTCTGTCCTGCATTTTGAATCTCTCAAAATTATCAATATTTTGAAATAAAACTGTGGTAAGTCTTCCACATTATTCTGTTTTAGTTACAAGAAACTGTCCACACCCAACAAAAATAATTTTCCCAAGAGCATAGTGTGTAATCAGTGAAAACTGAAGAAAGATTTTCACAGAGGGAATTTCTCATGCATCTAGCAACATACTGAAGGAGCACGGTGTTGTCTACTCCAAGCTACTGAGCACAGCACAGGGAAGGTTTTATTTGCACATTTTTCCATCTCTCTCTCTCTGTAAACAGGTAAACATACATTTTATTTCCTATGAAAAAATGATACCAAATATGTTGTTTAATGTCAAACAGAAGTTCTTTCAGCTTAACTTATAATGGGAGAAAGCAAAAATAGGGATATTGTCTACTGAGTGGTCCCCAGTAGGCTCTGCAAAACTGCATTGCCTCTGCTGTACTTAATGTTATTCTTCAGGATACTTTTTCCATCTTTCTGGGCTCATTTCCATTTCACAGTGGAGTTTTGTCCTGTTTGGCACACGGAATTTCTCTAACCAAAATATTGAGAATGTTACACAGAGAATGTTATTCTGGCCTTCTGATACACATCAAAATGACAAGATTTGCATTGTATTTCATGTGGACCCAGACAGAACAAAAAAGTGAAATAGAGGACTTAACAGCAAAGTTGTTTCAATTGCCTACTGGTTTATCATGGTGATAAACAGAGAAACACTATATTGACACACACTAGAAGCTTCAGTTGTAACAAAACTTCTGAGCAATGATGTGGGGAGCTTGCTTTGCTTATTAATATAAAACATAACTGAGATTACATCCTGTCAACTGAAGATGATACTCAGGAGATGGAGCCAAAACACTGCAAATATTTTACAGAGCTCCAAGTTAAGCTTGAAGGTCAATGATTAACCTTTGTCTGAAAAACAAAGCAACATTTGGAGTTTTGTTCTGGGGAAGATCTAAGTGAAAATTCAAGGCTGCTTATAGATGAAAAAATTCTACTGTTTCTAAAACATCACAAGTTTTGTAGCCATACAAATTACAAAGACAATTTTGTCCTTCTGTGTCTGTCAAACACACTATTAGCCACATCGGGTACCACTCACAGAAATGTGGGATTTAGCTGAGGTTCAGATAGCCTCTGTCTAATTCCAAGGGAGATTAAGCCACAAAGGATCTTACAAGAAGTAATTAGCAAAAATAACTTTGTTTCTTACTACCAGTTTTAGTTTGCCGGAACCTTTCAAAATTGCTCTTTAGACTAATGCTGGAGTGCCTGCATGAGCATCAGTTTAGATGCCTCACCTGAAACCTGATTACTTCTTACCCAGTCTTCCAGCTACTGGGAAGCAAAATCAGCAGAATCCAGTTAGATTTTACCAGGTGGATACCCTTACAAATGGCAGAGTCATCATCTCCATGAATGTGAAGGGGCAGAACCCAGAGTTTGTTTGGACCAGCGCAAACTTACTCTAAGACTGAGGTGAATGGCTCCCACAGAAATGCCATCTGGTACCACTGGTATTGCATCTACCATTTTTTACAAGGCAGGCAGATGATCCCTACAGAAGAATGATACCCTGTGAAAAAACAAGAGCCTCTATCCTAGTATTTTTCTGTACAGGTGGCACAGGAGGAAAGTAGGGATCTTGGTGGTCATCAGATTCAATCCTCTCTCTTCCAGTAGCAACTCCTTAACAGACTCGATGAAAAGTGGTATTGAGAAAGTTCAGGACCTGGCCCTCAGCAGGTCAGGAATCCAACAACTGACAATCAGATTCATGACATCAGATCAATGACATAAACTGCAAGACTGGAATGGCAACCTCCCCCAAAGATAAAAACCTGACACCTAAACCCTCCACACAACCATCCAGTACTAAGGTCATGATGGCTTTCATGATTTAGAGCTGCAAAGGACATGTGAAATAATGCTGCAGCAGCTGAGAACAAACTTATGCTACATCAAAGGAGAGACATTTTTCAAACACTGAGGTCCTGCGCTCCCATCTTAATCTCACTTATGATGGAACAGCCTAAAAACTCAGGAACTTCTATACCCAAAAAAGCTGAAGTGTTCAGAACAAAAGGCTTTAGAGGGGATGGAGAGCAGGACCAAAAGAGCTGTATTATTGGCAAGTTTGTGAAGGTTGGTGCTGAAGATCTAAACTAACACTACAAAAGTGGTGAGCTCAGTAAGTATCAACTTTGACAGAGGCTGTATTGTTTTGTCATGAGAGGTTTTCTGGTATTAAATGTTTGGTTCTTCTTACTCAGGTTGTAGAATGTGACTTATGCAACTCATGCTTTGAATGTGATTCAGAATTTTCAGGTGGAAAAAAAAGCAGAAATCCTGAAGAACCAGGAATGATGAAACAAGCGTGCTAGAAATCTCCATCTCCATCTCATCATGCAGTTGGCAGAACCTAAAAAATGGGCAAACCTACCTCTCTCTAAGAGCACAATCAAGGGAGAATGCAAGTTTTCCTTTTCAGTGGAAGTATCATTATATACCAATGTGAAACCATACACAAGCTATCATCTACATCAAATAAATATCTAATATTTAATTAGATATCTAATATCTAATTAATATATTAAATATCTAATTAAATTGTCAACTAAACCTTCAGCTGTGAGCAATGTGTAGGCTCTCAGTTCTGTGAAGAAAGGTATCCTAAATCAGGCATATCTCAACTGATTTTGAAGTTACTTTACTCTTAGTGCTTTTTATTGGGCTTTTGGAGCAAAGAAATTAAGATCTAAGGTGCAAACAGGTGGGACAGTGACCTCACAAGTTACTGTGAGGCAGACAAAAGGACATAGGTATTACTACTGCAGACTATGAATGAATGAATATGGAAAATGTCTCACCCAAGAACAGCAGATGCACTCAACCAATGCACTTACCTACACTTTTATCTATGCTTATACTACACTTGTATGATTACCTGCTGGGAGAAACAAGCTAAGTGCTAAATCTTTGTAAGAATGGAGAATGTAGGTTCTGAGGCTGCAGCTTCCTCATTATCTGGTGATGCCATTGCAAAACATCTATATAAGTCAGTGTGATGGTTAGGGAAAAAAATTGCTCTTTCTGTGCTATTATCTGCATTATCATCAATACAGTATTTAAAACCACAACTTGAGTTTGAAACCTTGTGTAAATCAGTAAGGCACAGTCTGAATACAGCAGAAACTATTTAGTAACTACTGGGACAGCCAGACCTTCTCAGCCCATTTCATATTCTCCTGAAGCCATTTTAGAGCAAATGAATGCTCCACTCTGTAAACTTCTTCCATATTAACATTCATTGTCAAACGCTTAAGAAAGAGCTTTGGATCAGATAAATGAGCTGCCTGCGTCAGCCTCTCCACTGCCTCGTGATAGGCACTGTTATTCTGAACTGTATCTTCAGATCTGTAAAGGAATTTTAACAAATATAAAATTAGTTACCATACAGGCCTATGTGTCACTTGTCTAACACTTTGTACTGGCAGGAAAATTACAAAAACATTAAAATAATCAGTGTATTTTTCACTGATAAGTATTATGCTAATTTCTAGACAGATTATATTACTGTTCTGAAGAATTAAAAAGTTATAGAAAGAGTATTTTTAACATCTTTAATGGTAATGAAAAGTAGTAAGCTTTAAAACCAGTGCAAAGTAGCTCTGCAATATTCACAGCACATTTCACAAAAAAATATCTCTGGACTGGAAGATTCAGTAAAGGAACGCAAACCATTTAATGAACTGGATATAGCAAGAATTCATGTACATGCTTGAATCCAGAAGGTTTACTCAATTTTGGTATATAATTAATTACTTTTGGAACATGGTGGTGCCTAAGTGACATGCCTACATTTTTGCAAGAGCAGAACTTACTATTTAAGAAAACAAACAGACATACCAAAGCATACACATGGGAACAAGAGATAAAAAAACTTCTCACTTATCCAAGGAACAAAAGGAAGAGAGGTATTCTTTGGGAAGGATAAGGAAAACAAGATCCATTACTTACACGATCACATGAATAAACACAATCAAAATGGTACACATCTGACAACAAACCTTTTCAGTACTATTTGAAGAGTCTGCATAGTAGTCCTGGAACTTTGAATATCACTGGCATTTGAAACAAGAAATATTTCAATGGCCAACAGCATCTCAACTTCAGACAGGTAAGAGGGAATCTTCAGGAATTTATGATATAAATTTCCCTGCAGCTCTGGGTAGCAACCCAGTGATAAAGCATCTGAGAGTAAATGTAGAAAATGAGGAATTAGGATTACCAATACTAAACACAGATGTGTCTTCTTCTGTGTGACTAAAAGTGGAAAAACCCCAACCCCAAAGCCTTAATGGATCTTCACCTATGAAATGGCCTGATTGGAGAACACAGCACACAGCATTCACACATAATATTCACAGTTGTAAAATGTTGGGATTTTTTTTTTTCAATGAGTTTTATCAGTTATGATTAAAAAGCTCTGTGAGAAGTCTGGAGACAGCAAGTCTGTGATAACACAAGTACAATCTAGGCAGGTCAGACAGAAGCTGTTAATCATGGTCAAATGAGAGAACATTTGAACAGCATCTCCTGCTTTGTTCCCCTCTCTTCTGTCAAGTGATCCCAGCAACCCAACATACAAGGGGTTCAAGGGGAAAAAAAAGGAGATGAGGAAAAAATCGAATTCCAATGTTAACAAAATCAAGTATCCATCCCAGAAAGGATGGTCTCTTAAAGCAGTCTGCTAACCTCAATGACTCTAAGACAGACTCTAACAGTAATAATGTGACCGTATGGAGAGACCCTCTGCAGAGTGGTGCACCCAGTATTACCTTAGCTCTGAAATGGGGAGTCAAAAACAATCACAGACTATTAGCTTTTAGTTGAAATGAATTTTCTTATAGTTAGGATAAAACAATTAGCCAGACTTCTCAAATCTTAAATATTAATAATTTTACCACCACAGAGATGTTGGTACACTTCTAGAGAGAAGTACAAGGAAATCTAATTTGCCTAGATGAAAATGTGAAGATGATACACTTTTCAACCATTTCAGATTTCACGTACTTGAAATTCTGGAATTGAATGTAAAAAATTAATTTTATCACAATTACATTTATTCCACGCCAGGTAGTATGCACTGATTCTTATTTTCAACTCACGATTTCCTAATAAGTATTTTTGGTCACAAATAAATTCCTGAGAGTGACACAGAAATTACTGGTTTTCTTTTTACTCATTATCTGAAACCTTATTAGCACATTATCTAAAGAATGTAAGGGGAGAATATTGTTTAAGAAGCAACTTACATTTGTAATAGGTCCTAGCTTTGGACCATAAAGAACTTCTTCCCAAAGCTGTGATTAATCCTCTAAGTAAAACAAAATCAATAGCAATTTTTTTGGAAAGCATGAAGTCTACTGCAGAAGATGAGACCGCAAGGTTCTTGTTCTCAAAACAGGCATTTATCAGCTTGTTAAAAAGGCAACTGTATTGAGAAGCCTCTATAATATCTGAAATGAAATTAAAAATATTAACTACTGAATTAATGAAAATGCAAATCTAGTTCAAGGGTCGTTTCTCAATCAGTACCTAAATCAGAACTCTTGCCCTTATCAGCAAGATGGAACAAGGTTGTGATAACATGAATGCTTTGTTAATCAAAAGACTTTTCATACAGTAATTCATTCAAATTGTGAAGGTCAAGTGTTAAGGTTCAAGTAACAATTTGCTGCCAAAACCAATAGAATCACATAAAAATACATTCACTTGCTCCAGCCTATAAATATAATCTTCATCAGATCTCTCAGATTTAAGATTTCCACCAATAAAAACCCCCTTGGTTTTCTGTTTCTACTCTTACTCTGTCATGTTTTTGGCAGGGCAGAGCAGCCTTGTTGTATTTACCTCATAATTCGAAGAACTAGATCCTTTCAGTATTCTCTAAAGTAGATGGTCTTCCAACCAATCTCTCCTAACATACCTAAAAGTGGCAGTAGACTGAGACCTACACACAGGAATCAGCTGAGGTTTCCTCAGTGGAACCTAAGTAAGTACATATCTCATTTTGAAGTACTCATCCAAAATTTGTCAGATAAATTAAGCCTGAAAGAGCACTCGGTTCTTAACATGGTATGTAAGAGACACTTAGGTTAGCCAGCTCAGTTAAAGAAAAAAATCCCCACATGATTCACCTGAAATTAAGATAAAATAAAATTAAAATATTCCTGTTTTATCTCACTGTATAGATCCTTAAAAATGTAATAAGTTTTTCCTGTTGCCCTGTGTAGTAACTGAGCAAAAGAGGATGGGTGTGTGTACACATCCAAGTGTGTGTGCACAAGTGCAGCAAGAGCTGCAGAGCACAACACATATTTAACTGACACTATACTCTTTGGAAAATAGAAACAGGCTTGTATAAACCCATCTTACTTCAACAAATTTTAGCTAGAAAACACTACAAGAACAGCACAGAATCATCTGTTACATTTTTAGCTCTTTACACAGTATCTTTTTCTTTACTTACCAGAATGTTTCTGCAAACCTGGTAAGTTCTGCAGAACTTCAAATGCCTGCCTGTACAAACTCTTCCTCAAGTATTTGTGCGCTATTGCACATAACAGATTATGTCGATTGAGGATGTCCATTTTATCACAGGGCCACATGGGTGCATCTGTGATCCACTCTGACTCTGTGGCAAACAAAAGTGCAGTGTTATTTCTAGGAACTGGAACTTCTGCTTGTTGAGACTTTGCGGCATTAAGAATCTACTGTACCATGACACAAACTTCAGAACTGCACAGGAAGTGCAGCTTGACTTATTAATAATTTGTTTCTCATGACCAATACTCCTTAGACTGCTTCTCTGAACTGTTATATTGTAAATCACCCCTTTTGTGAAATATCACTGCAGTAAAATGGACTGTCAGTGCCATATATAGATATGTGTGTATCTATGTACAGCTATAAAACTGAACAGCAAATTTACATCCTCAATATCACTTTACAGCACACACTCCATTCTTTTTACTTCTGAATTTCTTCTCTTTTCAGCACATCAGAGTTCCAAAAAGCCATACATAATAATTGCAGAAATATGGTACTGTTCTAAAGCAATTATATTAAATGAGGATACTGTGAGGTGCAAAGGAACATTGCATTGACCCAAGCCAGAAATGTGACACTGGATGTCCCCTGATTGAAAGGAAAACTACACTCCCAGCATGGGACAGCGTCATTATCCAAGCTGCACTCCTACCTCATTACAGCAGATTTTTAGGTAGAATGGTGTTGATTGTAGAATACTGTGAAAACATCTGAAAAAATTAGTTGTAATATTTCTTATACATATAAAGAAGAATATTAACCAGTAAGATGATCACCTTTCTTTTGTTGCCTCAGTATTACTGACTATATTTAGTAACACAGACCAGCTTGTAACTTTTATCTGAAATCTGTCATAGAAGTGAACTGTTCAAATTTAAGTCAAAATTTTAAGACAGGCTTACCTCTCAACACCCTTGTTGCTCCATCCAAATTTCCAGAATAAAGAAAGATTTCTGTGGCTTTATTAACAATCTGACATCTGGATGCTGATCTCCCTGTACCTACAAGTCCTTTCAAGAGTGTAAAATCTATCTGTAGCTCATGCAGTTTATCCAAAACCTTCCTTCCCTGGATGTAAGAGGGAGAGGGAAAGAGGGAAGGTCAGAGAAAGCAATGGTATCAGTGAACACAGAGTATATTTACAGAAAATAGAACAGATTTAATTTGGTGACAGATTTATAGGTATCGATGCAGTTATCTGTTCCAAAATGAGTCAGGGTTGAAGTCCAGTAGAATTTCAAATTAAGGGTTTAGGGTTTTTTTATCATGTAGGCAAAAAAATTCTACCAACCTACTGTCGAAGAGTTCCCAACACACTATGACCCATAACATTATTTCTACTATATAATGTTCAATACAGTATTTTTATTATACTTTGCAATTAATTTGCAAGTGCTTACTTTGGTTTATTAATATTTTTAATTTTGATTTCATTCAATACTACACAATCTACAACATTCTAAAAGATCATACAGAGAATTTTAATTTTTCAACAGAGATTTAATTGTTAAACTGAAATAATTACTCCAGCATAAGTCAAAGAAAACTTATGAGTGTAAACAGGAGGACAAAAAACAGGAAGAAGTTGGGCCTATCTGGCCAACACTGTAACAACCAACAACTTTATCATCAGATTCCAGATTGGTATTTAGACTGGTTTTTTACAGAAACTTCATCTTAACAACTTTTTGGCTGTTTGTTGCATGTTGTTTTTTTTAAGTACATCTGTTTTATGAACTTTCTTTACCTCTTACCAAGAAAATTCTCTTTAGGTCAGGCAGCATACATATTTTACCCCCAAGAGCCACCAAAGCTCTGCAATAAAGGGGTTTGATTTCTTGAAGGAAAAATTATATTAAAAGTACATTTAGAGTTTCAGGCAGTCCAACATATTCATAAAACAGCACAGGGCATGTCCTAAAGCCAAAATTAATTTGGGCAGAGCAGGAACAGGAAATTCACTACTATCTTACTTCCTGGACTACCTTTTGGGCAAAAAAGGTATGGACCAAGTAGATACTAGCCCATCAGCCCAGGATTAGGGATTTATCTGATAAATATAATGGAGTGAAACAGGTAGAGAGAGGTAAGAATGACAGCTTCTTGAAGCAGAGATTAATTTGGGATCTGCCAGTTCTGATAAAAATCATTCAGAGCAGAGCCTCATTCACACACTAATATGGTCAACACAGGCTGTCTACAAAGCTGTTTGAGGATCTTGGTCAGTAATCTCTTGAGAAGTAGGTTTGATACCTAACACAACACTCTCAAAGAAATAAAGATCTTTTGCTCTAGACATGAAAGAGATCATAGTATTGTAAGAAGCATCTACGTTTAGTAACTCATGTTGTACAAGAATAACACTACATGTGCTTCTCATATCTTGGACCTCTGAAATAAGGACATGAAGATGAATCTCCTTGAAATATCAGGGGCTGTGCAATCCAAGATAAGGCTCTCCCTTAAGATTGACTGGAAAACAGCTAAAATGTCTGAAGACACACAAACACTATATGCTGAAGAAGACAGCCAAAACCCAAGCCAAACTAAACTCTTCAGTGGGCATGTCAGCACTACCACTCCTCAATGCCACAAGTTTAGAGTCTCTGTTCTATGGTCAGGAGTATCCTAACTGTTCTAACTGCTAAATTTTGTGGAACAAAAATGCCCAGAGTTCTAGTGCAGTATTACTCAAGTGCAAAGACCCTCTTTCCTTCCCTTTACTCTTAAACAGTACCACACTGTGCTGCAGCTTGAAAGTGACTTGCTGAAAACCATGCAATGATGAAGCTGATACTGCAAAATCAATGGTTCATCAGAACAGGTAACCTGTCTCTAGACTAAGCACCTCTACCATATATCTCCTGGGACTTGGCTTGACCCTGGAAACAGATTGAGCTGTGCACAGATATTTTACGTAACAGAATTCCTGAAGGTCATCCCCTAGAGAGAGTTGTACAAAAGACAATTTAATTCCTCAATGCGAACCAGAAAGGTTCGCATCCCTAATGGTAATTCACTAAAAAAAGCCAACCCAAAACTTCAAGAGACAACAGGGGATTGAGAGCATTTCCTTCTGTTCATAACAATGCATGCTAGAAATCATCTTGTAGGGGATAAGGAACATCCCAGTACAGCATAATTATTAGCTGAAGGGATCAGACCCAAGTTCAGAATGGGATCACTGACCAAATCACAATCTAAAATCACTGGGTGTTTATATTATTTCTTATGCTGTAACTTTTCAAGTTGCTTTCTATAAGAGATAGTATGCACTGGTTCCTTCCAGGAAGAAAAAGACTAATTTAACATTGAAATGGATCTTACTGCAGTGAAATTATGACCAATACTGCCTGAGGTGTAAGGAATGTAAAACACCCAGTCGAAAGTCTAGTCTCTTAGCCCTGGCCCTGTGTAATGTCTGACAGCAAAAACATGATTGTAAAGGTATTTCTTTGTGACACTGGAGTTTTACAAGATTCACAGAACTTAGAAACCTAGATTCAGTGGAAGAAAAGCACTTCAAGAGTTCTGGGAACAGGCAGTTCACCAAGTGCAGAGGTGCTATACTGCTTTTCTGTCTTCCTGGCCTTATTCATTCTATTTGATGTCAGATGCACAAGCACCAGCGCAGGAAATTGCCCAAACTTCTCTAACTATCAGTTGGAAGGTCTCAGAATGCAACATGATTGTCAGACAGAAGAAAGTAGTGTTTCTGGGAAATAATTCCATCAGCACCTCACCCCAGAATCTCAGGAAGATCTGTCTCAGTTCAGATTCAACATCAGCTCAGAAAAATCACAAAATGAACATGAGCAATCAGTTTCTATGTTGTAAGTTATGACAGGCTCCTTAGGAGACTACTGCTCAGAAAGGCACAATAAAATGCTTTGGTCCACCTGGAGAGTTAGGAAGTAGTAAGATGGCAGGGAGGCAGGTGGCACACCCAATCACTCCACTAGAGGAACTAGAGTTTAATTTTCAGAAGAGAAATTACTAATTCTTTTTCTCTTTTTCTTCCAGTCAGGTTCCTGTAGCACTGCATACCTTTATCCACTGCAGTACTTTGTGATACGAATACATTACGCTTATCCCAGTCCTTCCAATGAAAAGTTTATCTGCTTTATTATGCTGTGAATTTTTCATTACTGGAAAGAAAAAGAATAAGGTTTATTTGTTTATTTATTTAATATGTAAACCCAGTTTTAAAGAAATCACACATTTCAAAAACACAGCAATTGTGAAAATACTAAATACATTTTCTGAAATATTTGCCATTGAAAGCAGCAACTTCCTAAGTCTTAACATCAGAAGTAGGGTAAATAACTATAGTTTATTCTATAACCATATTCTATTTTAACTCTATTCTATTCTAACTGTAGTTTATTCAGACAATATTTCATAGTAGTCTAAGTCATCCACAAAATGCTTGGACATGTAATGGCATAATTTAGTAACATCATTATTTGTAAAGTAAGCTTTACATTTTCTAGCACCACAAAGAAATTCTGGTACTTGCAGAACTGAGTAATTACAACCTCTTTGAAAGCACTGTTAGAATTTCTGAGCAGTGGTCTAAAGTAGGGTGTGAGTACAACAATCCATTCAGCTGTGTGAAGGAAATATTGATTTGTACAATTAGAAAATAAAAATAAGTAAAATACTTTAAAAAACAGTGTTTGTTTAATATTTATCTCGTATTTGTAATTCCTGTTTTTTGTGTACAGCTTATAGAGAATTTAATATATTGGTGTAGTAGCACATGTATATAATACATAAATAAATAAATTGTGGGTCACTGCTCAAAAATTTTTACTGATGGAGGTGCCTATCAGTTGGGAGGCCACTGCTTTAGGAAAGATAGACTAAGTTCCAAGCTCCAACAAAATCTTCTCCCTGTGAAACAACTGGAAGCTTTTTATGATATGAAAGTGTGTGGTCAGAAAGGACATGTCACATATCTGGAATAAATACTCATTATGTTTTAGTAGATAATACAAGTTGAAAAATATCTAAGCAATCCTTTGCAAAACAATTTAATATTCCACTGACACTTCACCAAGCTTCAGTAATCTGCAAACTCATTAGGAAGAATGATACAGATATGCAAATGAAGGGGCATGGGAAGGAAAGAGGCAAGAAAACCTACCAGAACTATTAAAACATTGGGTTCTTGAGCACCCAGCCCTTGCAGAAACCATTGATTCTTTGGAGAATAAAATAATTCTAAAAATCCAACTTATCAAAAAAAAAAGGTACAAATTATATACAGGATGTAACCTGCTCAATGTGTTCTAAAACACACAAGTATATATATACTTACAGCAGTAAAGCTTATTTGTGCTATTAACATAATGTAACATTTTCATGTGACACTTTACATGAGAATACTTAAACACATTTGCCATTGTCCTGAGCATAGGCCATTTTTATTGAAAGATTATGAATTCTGGGTTCTCTCTTTGATTTCAGAAAACTCTACTGTTCCTCCTTCAGAATCTTCCTCAAGTGTAAGCATTTTATTTCTACTGGAAAATAGCTTGTACTGAACATTACAGCTGACTGTATTTACACCTCAAAAGATTCAGAATATCATAACATAAAATTAACTAATAATAAAAAACCTATATTAATTAATTTTTTATCTCTTTTAAAACCTCTACAAAAAGCCTTCTTGCATCTTAATTTTACCTATATCAGCAAAATCACAAAAAGGGACTCCTGGTCTGTCTGTCTCAGAATCTTTGGCTAAAATTTCAGCAATAGATAAAAACAATTTCTGAAGATCCTCAAAATGTTCACATCCAGTTCTTGCATTAAGATACAAAGCTCCCAACTTAGTCCAATCCCTTTTTTCCTTGCAATGCTGTAAAGGAGGCAAAGGATAAATATAAGCAAAACTGCTTCCAGAAAACCAAACAGAAGATATAGTGAAATTTGGGATCTGTACCTGGGATAGACTTAAAGTAGAAAAAAAATGCAGCTATTGCCAAGAACCTTCATGGTCATATGGCAGTTAACATGTTGCCAAACTTGCATGGACTGCTAATTACTTCTATCCCTCAAGAAATTAAATTCCTTTTTTCGTGTCATGACCCCAATTGAGAAAGCTCATAACTTATTCATCCTATTCAGGAACTGGCATTTATTCAGTACTTTTTTCCCATGATGCATGCTGAATTTATGGTTATTTTCTATTTGAATTAGTCTTTTGCTTGCCAGATCACTTGATAATGCTGGTGTTAAAGGAGTAAAAAATCAGTACTGTTTTTTTCCCTTTTTACAGTTCAATCTCCGGATCTACACAGGATGTGTGAGAATATGCAAACTATATTATAATTATGCATAATGAGTAATCTGACCTTGAATATGAAAGACACAAGTGTCCAAATAAAGAATGTTTTACAATATTTTCTTATTCTTTAAAATACTGCTCAATGTTGTCAATTGCTTTTACAATTGTGTGTTTTTATACCAGATATGAATTCTATTTGCTAAATAATGTATTAAATAATTTTTTTTTGGTGAGGAATGATGTACCACTACTAGTTACAAGCACAACAATGTAAAGCAGAGGAAATAATTGCTTAAAGTTACAAAATCTTTGAATTTGATGCAAAACAAAGGTAAAACTACAAGTATGTAAATGAAAATACTGACATTACAGAAAGGCCAAAGACAGTTTTCTCCTGCACATTAACCCTTCCCAAACATGGCTTTGCATAAGCTCACTATACTTGATAATAAAGCCCACTAATTAAAAAATGTATAGAAATTGCTATTTCATGTAGGTTTAAAAGAAGTCACGAAGAACACACATACTGTACCTGAATTTCAGCCACTGCCAAGTTGAAGTCAAAAATCCATGTCTTTTCAAAACACCTTTCCTTAATTCTTCCATATAAAAAAAGAATACTTGAATTTTAACACATCTTATTGAACAACAAATTATCACATACGAACATTAAACAGATGTGATTTTTGATCCTATTTGCTTCACATTACACAAACTGCACACTGAAAAGCTCATTTAAAATCTTGCCAAGGGAAGTTATTGCATGTATTAAACAAATAATTGAGCAGAGCTATTTTCACAGATGCTGCATATTTGGTTTCCACTAAGAATCAAATGTATGTTCATGAATCACAAATTTAGTTTCTCAATTTGTGTGTGTGTGTATGATGCAGATGATACAAAAATGAAAAAGGATCACAATCTTGTTCAAGAGATGGGGAAGTATTAGCAGTTTTTGAACAGATTTGACATTTTGTGCAGCATATCCCAGCAGTACTCAAAAAATGACCCTCCTCCCTAGCAGTGTTGGCACAAATGTTTATGTAGTCACACTGAAAAGGAAAATAGAAAACTACAGATTATAACTAATCCTAGAAGGGTTGTTTATTGCAGAAGTACCATTTGCTTAAGTGGGTAAATGATATATTAGTATTATAAATTACATATTAAACCATGATGTTTCTAATTTGGCTAGCTATATAAACTTCTATCACAGCTGGCAGCAAATTGTACAATGATGACTGATATGGAAAAAACTAGTAATTGTGGTCAGAATCTAAATTTTGATTTAACAATACTTGATCTTTAAAACACAGTAGATTGACTGCACTTTAAAATACAATTAAGCATGATATGGTAGTATTTTCACCCAACACATCTTTTAAAGATTCCACATAAATTTATAAAAACAGATGCTGAAGAAAGAGCTAAGCAGCTATAATTAGAGAATAGCTCCTTAAAGACATACCTGGATTTCATGTTTATAACAGTACTAATTTCCCAACTGGAAACTTGCAATTGGCGAAGCACCTTAATAATGTAGTCAAAATGTTCTGACTCAAGGAACATACCAGCATCAGTGAGCTGTAAGATCAAACAAGATAAGAAAAGTAAGCATGTTAAAACTTTTGATGACTTAACGCATCTTCAGAGGTAAGTGGCAAACAACATTGGGAAAGGCACATCGCAGTCAATTTCAGTCAAAAATGAAGGAATAAATGAAAATTGATACCACAAATTCAGTTACTCACAGTAACACTCTTAATATTATTTCAGTACTGGTTTTTAAATTGGTGTGCTTGAGTTTTCAAACAGGCAACGTATTTCAGAAATTCCAACAAGCAACAGTAGTACAAATGAAACTCATACCTTGCAGAAGGTACTGATTAATGTAGGCACAGCATTTCTTATATTCAAAGAAGCCACATGATCAAAAACTTTCAGAAGAACATCTACAGCTGGCTAATAGAGACAGAAAAAGCACATTCAGTTTTGCAACTCCCTACAATAAGAAAGCGTAGAGATTTTGTAATAGGGTATTCTGAATTACTCCCCTCACCCAAGATTTAAGTACCAGAGTAAAAACAAACCTAAATAATAAATGGCATAGTAATAAAAAAACTAAAATTGTAAAACTAAGATTTAAAAAATATTACAAAGTCACCTACCAGTGTCTTGATTTGTACAATTACATTCAATATCTGAAATACTTCCTGCAACAAGCAGTTATTGAGCAATGAAACAAGAAGATTGTTCAGCACTTCAGAAGCAAAATCCACACCAGGACTAACTTCTTTGTAATACTGCACAAATATCTGGACTGAAAAAGCAATTAAAGTGAATTTCACTTTGGGATTAACTGATGCTGACTATTTAAACAAGTTATTTCCTTACATTTAAGACAGCAGTGTAACAATGCTTAATTGTCCAAGACATTGTGGAACAGGGATAGGAGGAAAAACAGGTGAAAGGATCCAGTTTGAAATACAGTGTTAACCTTACCAGAACCAGACTGACTATTCTGAAATATGTTGTATGATTGTGCTGAGCACTGTAAGCCCTGTAGGTTCCCAGAAAGTTTAGATGATTTGGTGCAGCACAAGAAGAATGAACAACCCCAGGTTAGATTTGTTACATGCATCAAGGCAGTCAGGCCTTTCCAGACAGGAAGCTCCAGAAGTGCTCTGTTACAGTGGATGGTCTTACAATCTGCTCCAGTTGACAAACATGTACTGTGGCCTGCTGGAATCCAGTGTTACCCACATTAAAACACTCCTGCGTTCAGCACGGGAACACTGCAGTGTCACACTGAAGTGCAACTGAATGCCCTGTCCTCATTCTGCTACACTCTAAGAAGCTTTTAAAAACTTTAAGACTGCTCAGGACTGGTATAAAAGGAATCACTGTCCAGAGTAAAAACAAAACAAAAGCCCTTTCTGACTGAACTCAAAAGCTCAGATGGACCTGAATGAACTGCAGTCCCTAAAATGTGTTAATCAAAATCGTTTGCATATATGGTGTAAGGACTAAACTAAAGCTGTTGGGGGTGGGGTGCAGTAGCAACATTTAATTTCTAGAGCTTCCATTCTCAAGTTCTTGGGTTTTTGATGTTTGGCCAGGGTGTTCAAAAGCACCTTAATAAAATTTAGGTTCTGTTAAGCCTCCTACCTGCCTTATTTACATATTTCTACTCCCAAGTCTAGTTACAGTCAGGTATGTTAATTTTATGTGGAAGTAAGATTTCTAAGAACCTCCTGAACTAAGTGCTTATCTAAATTTCCTTACTGGGAAATGGAACTATTAAAATGCAGGGATTGAATGTATTCTTTAATTTGAAGAACGTTTTATTCACTGATGAAGTGGCAACCATTTCTCTTTCAACAACCTATTCAATTTGCTTTAAATAAGCTAAGCAACAAAGATACATGAACAGCTACTACTATACCATACCTGCACGTTTTAGGAGGCCTGATTCTTTGATACTAATGTATGTCCTAAGAATTGCCATGCAAATCTGTAAAAAAGGGAAAAAAATTATAGTAAAATGTAACTTCAGTTTATGCTGAACGAAAGAACTACTCACAAGCATGAGTTCTATTACATAATGAGCTTTACATTGCTTCCATGTAAGCCACACGTAATGATAAATGGAATAAGAAGGTAATGGGGGTCTGTAGGCAAAGGCTCTGTTGAAAGGCCAACAAATCAAACAGACAAATAATGCAGATGCAATGTTTGGAAAAGAGGCTGCTGGGACCACAAATGTTTGCATGTGTATACATATACTCACAGCAAGCAAAAACAAGAAGAAAAAAGAGAATTTCAAAATGCAGTTACTTCAGAATTAGTATAAATGTGGCAGACTGTAAACAAAGAAAGGGAAGCAAAAATGTGAAAGTGAAACATTGTAAAGTAAAAAATTCATCAATGTACCAACTAAGAAATCAAAAAATCATCCAGAAATTAAGCTGGTAACACTGACTGGCACAAAGAATCATCATAAGGAACAGAACAAAAAGCTCAGAACTAACTTGATTTAATGAGCCATTTCACGACAGACTGAATTAACTAAAAAAAAAAGAAAAGAAATCCACACCTAAATATTTTAATGTTATTTAGAATTGGAACATTATTGTCGTAACATCTTAAGCTGCCAGCTTTGTGATACTTACACATTTTGCTCCATCTCTGCAGATGAAGAAATAAAGACTACTGGCATTATATAATAGAATTCCAAGTGAGGGACCACCCCTCAACACTTTGTTTTAGAAATCCCCTGTTACTTCTAGAACATTTACAGTCTTTCTGCACAACAATGTAAATTGGTCATATTTATATACTATTTTGTGAAACAGTTAAACATCAAGAGACAGAAAATGCTATAAATTAGTAGTCATGGTAATACATAACTGAATCAGGTTTATTTTTACATGCAACTTCAAAATGACACAGGATTCACTTATGAAAACCATTATGCAAATGAATTATCATCAAAGCAGAAGATACTGGTTTATGGCCAAGACATCTTATTTTAAAGTCGTTAACCTGTTTAGATCATTAAGCCAAAGAATACAAAAATTACACATCTAAATATATTTATCTAAATATAAATAAACCTTATTTTTTTTATTTGGAAGCATTGCAATATTGCGCTATATTCCAAGATATACCTTTCATAAAATCCTACCAGATTTCTGATCATTAATATACATGAAGTGTCACTTGGGAACAGGTTAACTCACTTAATCCAAATCTATACTCCCAGGTGGCTGAGGGCATTTCCAGAATAAACTTTAGCTTACAGTATGGAAATTAGTTTACTTTCTCATGGAATCAGTTTTTCTCCTTCTTTGGACTGACTCCCAAAAAAGGCAAGATTGCACCTGGAACTCTGACTGTTCCAAGTATTAGTAAATAGCTTGGACAACCACCTGTAGTAGTATTCAATCATGGGACATGCTGTATTACATTAATAAAAGAAACTAAATGTGTTATTCATTTACACCTTCTAGAAGGCTTCAGTTGATTTAGTTTTTCCAATTTTGAAAGGTGTAACTACACAGACTATGTAAAAATGTCAGAATCTTTAAATTTCGAGTCAGCTGTAATAGATTTTGAATAAAGGTACATTAAAGAGATTATTCCTATTTTCAAAAGGCAGTATAAATCACACTATTCTGTCATCTATCAGTTGATTCCATGACTCATTTAACATGACAATGTAATAAAACCGTAATAAAGGCCTCTGCATTTTATACACCCAACCAACCAACTCTCCAGTAAAAACATGATCCTACTACAACAACACAGGGGTGCTTATTCAGAAGAACAAGCACAGGAATTTACTAAATACTTCAGCATCTCCCAGTCAGTGCTCACTCCATTGTTTAGTAAGGGAGAAACCCATATACTGCAGCCTTTATCTAAGTGAGATCAAAATCAGGATCCTTCTCACAGGATGTTTCATGTAAGCTGTGGAAGCTTTGAAATGCATAATTCCCATTCAATGTAGCTGAAACTGATCAAAAAGTTCAGAGGTTATTTAGTGGTGGTTAGAGACAGTAATAAAAGGATAATCTAGAACCACATTTCTTTAGGAAGCCACATTAAAAAAAACTTGAATATGTGAAACCTTGTCTGCTTTTAAACATCAATAAAGCAACAACCATTATTTGATTTTGCTTAAGCTGAAAACAGAAATCATGAAAACTTCACTGTGAATAGCAGCCCCGTCATTACTGATTTTGTTCTCAGAAATTATACTTACTCAGTGATAACATCTTTAAAGGTGTAAAAACATAAACATATACAGATTCACAGTTTCTGACTTGATACATGGGGAATTGTCTGAATAACCATAAGAAATTTAGTGCCAAAGGATCAGAAATCTAAGATTTAACAACTCACACTTGCATTTTTCTCCATCTGCCATGGCTCAAAATCCGCACAATTCTTCAATGGCAGTGAAGTACTTCTTCCTGACGATCTGCAACCTAAAAATTAGGATGAGGGCACAAATCACATAATAAAAATTAATCATACGGAAACCACTCTCATCCATCTTATTTTCCTTTATATTTATAGTTCCTTCAAGTCACAGCAATGATTAATGAAAAATTGATTAATGCAGTCTAAAGCCAGTAATTTAAACTACAGTTTTCTTAATTATCCTAAAAGTGAGACTTTACACAAACTTCAAGAGTAAGCACATTTAAATTAAAAACTTCACTACTTTATCCAAGGTTCCTGCTCTAACTTACAAAGATAAGAGAAGAAATGAAAATATCCAGAAGTTTTAATTTCAAAACCTACCCACTTTATCAGTAATCTTTGCATTCCAAAATCACTAGCCCTAAATTTGAGCTATTTTTTCCAAACTGATAGAAAACCTTTCATACTCTTTATGTTTTAAGCAACGCAAGTAGAAAGTTTAAGCCCAGTGTAAATTACTCGTTTCTTAATCATGAAACTTGGTTTTAGAACTTTAATTATTATTGAATGACAGTTTTCTTTCTCTGAAAAACGAATAATGTTAATGGAAGATAAAAGTTCAGATTTTCAAGTCCATATCTAAAGGCAAATGAGAGTTTTTGAATGCCCTGCATTCTAGGATTCCCATCTGGCCCCTTCAAAGAACTGAGTGTTCAAAAGACAGGGTGCTTAGCCCCTTCTGGCAAACCATAATTACTAAAGAGCATGCAATAACAAATGTTCTTCTAGAGACTGGCACTAGGCACATGGTTCTTAATCTCCATGTCTTCCTAACAGATAGGGCTATCACAGGATAGGAAGGACAGAGCATAATGTAGAACAGTGAGTATTAAATGTTATGTATTGTCACGTTGCAAAAACTTGTGAATGACAGTGGACCACTCAGTAAGTTCAGGACTGGATTTAGTCACAAGAAAAAGACTCAGAAAAGAGCTAACCACTAGCTATAGAACAACACCACTGGGAATTTCATCTTTCCTCCAGCTTCTTGCCATCCCTAAGCACAAAGTTTTTGACCAGGTCCTTTCAAGAGTTGCATTCTCTCTTGCTGACAGCAGGTCAGACTTGTAGGGAAGCAGGCCCTAAAGCTAAATAGCCATGCCTGCCTGCATAAATGATGAATAAAAGGCTGTTTTGCCCTGTCCCACCACAGAAACTCTTGCTTTGGTAACTTTCAAATAACTTTAAGAAGGTAGACTTTTGAAGAACTCTTCAGAAGCTGCATATGCTTTGAAGGCCAAAGACATGAACAGTTTCAAACAATTGAGGACTGAAGACATATTCAAAATCGCTTTTTATAGCATGTGTTTCTTGCACTACCTGAAAATACTGTTAAACATGATAAAATTGTTCTACAAGCTCAGACTGACAGTACAATTTGAAACTCAACAAGAACCCCTGTCACTGATCTTAATTCAAGAAATCCATATAAATATCCATATTAATTATAATTCTAAAAACACTGATTTCCAAAGCACCTGTTGCAAAGAAACAGCATGCAGTACCTAGCCACAAGTAATTGATTCCTGTTCTTCTCTATCTTGTACACCAAATAAACCATGCATTTATGCAAAGCTAAATGTCAGATTTGTTATGTGCAGTGACTGCAGTTCCATTATGATTTCTCTGGTGGCACAGACATCTGTCCCACGTGTGAAATACACTGGGTCAACATGAAGTGCTACTTATTAAATCCATATAATTATTTGACCCAGTCTGGTGAAAGCCTCAAAAACATTTGAATTGGAATAAACAATAAAGTTCTGACCTTCAGCAAGGTGGGCAAACCATTTTAGCAAGTCTTATTAAGAACAATCAACCAACCAAATCTGCAGTCACATTCTCTGACCACAAATAAAGCAAAACAAGTTACTTGCTAATAACACATGTCAAACACAATGTGTCAGACTACTAAGAATGCATGCATTCCTGTACCATTAAAATATCTGAAAGGCATAAATATCAGATAGAATTATTTCTAGAATAGAATTCTGCTAAAAACTCAACCCCAAACCTCTCATTAACCTACTATGAAATCTTACAGTTTTGCTTATATATTCAATGTAAAATTCCAGCCAACATCTTCAGGAACTGAAGATAGTCCTTAAGATTTCATTGGCAAATAAAGCACAAAAAAAATAATTCTGAAGGGCTCATCAACACAGCATACAATACCATTTGTCCAGGATTTCATCTCTGTAGTTCCACTGAAGAGATCTACTTTTCGGTCATTCAGTGGCACTCGTGATAGCAATTCACAGTTCACTTTGTATTTACAGTCACTGCTGAATATTAAAAACCAAAATTTTGTTAGTTTGTTTAATCAAATTTAACAGGGGTTTCTTTCATCTACTGCGTGCCTTAAAAGAGGGATTGAGTGTATAAAAGATGAGAACTTCTTCAACACTTTATGCAACACTTCAAATCTTGCCATAAATTTAAATAGCCAGCAGTCCCAACAATTTTACTTTCATTACTCTCATTTGCCTGGTCCAATCTGATTATGATTTTAGCTGAGATTATTCTGCCCTAACGCATAACCATACGACATTTTATTATTCAATAAATAAGTAGAAAAGGCACCTGTGAACCACTCCCCCCCTCCCATGCTGACAAGAAGACTGAGATGATTTCTGTCACCTCTGAAGAAGCATCTACTTTACATTAGTCTGTAATGTAATATGTGCCACAGAGTAAACCCCAAGGCTTTTCAAATTACATCTAAAGAGTCAACTGTTTTCTTTCCTAAAAACTGACTACTGGACAGAAGATTTAGGTGATTTCAAAGGGAAGCCAAATTAAATACTGTTCTGCTTTTATTCCCAAATATGTACATTCCAGAGAATTAAATGACTAAAATGTGGTGTTTTCAAAAATAAGCTAAAAATATTGCTAGCAAAATACTTGGTAATCTCTTTCATATTTGGAAACAAACCCACAGGAAAAATATCATCCCCTTCCATGAGATCTTCCTCCCCTTCTCCCTTTCAAATAAGAATCCTGGTTCAGTACAATCCTGGTTTTAACCTGCTTGCTCCTCTGCAGACAGAAACAGTTGCCACCTCCTATAAGGGATTCAAGTTATTTAATACTCCTCATAGTCAAGATAATTTAAATAGTTCCTAAACTTTGGGAGGTTTTCAATACAATTTGAAATAAAAATGCTACTGCAGAGAGGAAGAAATTCCATCTAACAAACCCAAATTTTTCAAGATGAATCTTTATTCTCATCAATGCATTTGGGTTGGTTTCCAGAGGGAACAAAAAATCTGCAGTTTTAGTTATTCAGAAATTTCAAATTATCACATAAAATCTTATCTGCTTCCTCATGCCAGCCTCAGTTCTGACACAACGGGATTTTCATAGCAGTTTCCCTTCAGATTTCTTTAGTCTAAACATGAAACTACACACAATTTTGCCAGAAATTGAAAACTATATACATCTACAAGCATTTTATTTAGTAACAGCATCACTAGAAGAGGAGTTTGTTAAATAAGAACAACTGTTTTCTTCTAGATAAAACTTCACAATGGTAACATTTTTCAGTAAAACTAGAGAAAATAGTTTAACTCCAAAGGAAGGCCTCTTCTCTAACCACACTCATTGCACAAACATATTTTGTTCAGCACAGTCCGCTTATTCTGTAATATAAAGCACTATTTATGCTACTAAGACAAATTAAAATGGGTATTTTATAGCAGAAGGAGGAGCTTGGAGCTCTCTAGTGGATTAACAAAAAGATGCAGTATTCTCCACTAACAGACTTCTGTCACACTCAAGTCTGTCGCAGAAATGTGAGCGCTGTTGCAAAAAAAAAAGCAGCACTCTCTTCTATGTCAGCTAAGGTTTCTTGGTTATTTTGAAAATTACTATGTTCTAGTTCCAGCCAGGACAGGGTCAATTTTTGCAGTAGCCAATTGGTGATTACTGCTCCTAAACCACAACACTCTAGTATGTTATTTCTCTTCTAATTACTTAAGAATTTCATCTTAAGTATACCTTTCCTACAAAAACGAATTCTCTGTCATTTCTGGACTGCTGATGAATGCAAATTTCTCAGTCTGACAGTGATTCAGGCTCGGACAATCATCCACCATATGCAGTTCAACAAGGGAAAGTGATGGATTCTGCATCTGGGATGGGGCAACCCTGGAAGTACAGAGAGACTGGGGAATGAGAGGCTGGAGAGCAGCACTGTGGAAAGGGACGTGGGGTCCTGGTTGATGGCAAGTTGAATGTGAGTCAGCAGTGCCCTGGCAGCCAGGAGGGCCAACTCTGTCCTGGGGGGCATCAGGGACATCATCCCCAGCTGGCCAAGGGACAGGACCGTCCTGCTCTGCTCCACACTGGTGCAGCCTCACCTTGAATATTTTGTGAAGTTTTGGGTGCCGCAACATAAGAAAGGCATTAAACTATTAGAGAGTGTCCAAAGCAGGGCAATGAAAATGGTAAAGCACCTTGAGGGGAAGCCTGGTGAGGAATGCCTGAGGTCACTTGGTCTGTTCAGCCTGGAGAAGACAAGACTGAGGGGAGACCTCACTGCAGTCTGCGAGGGGAAGAGGAGGGGCAGGCACTGATATCTTCTTTCTCACGACAGGACCCAAGGGAATGGCCTGAATATGTGTCAGGGAAGGCTTAGGATGAATATTAGAAAAAGGCTCTTCACCCAGAGGGTGGTCAGGCACTGAACAGGCTCCCCAGGGAAGTGGTCACAGCACCAGCCTGACAGAATTCAAGAAGCATTTGGACAACACTCTCAGGCACATGGTGTGACTCTTGGGAATAGTGCTGTGGTGGGCCAGGAATAGAACTTGATGATCCTTATGGATCCCTTCCAACTCAGCTTACTCAGTGATTCTGTGATTCTGTAGATCAGACTAAGAAATGTGTACAATAAACACTGCAAACACAGCCTGAAGCTAGAAGAACAGTAAAGCATGTCCTTAACTGTATGTGACATGTTTTTAAGCACCTTTTTCTACCGTTGTACAAATATTTGTCAGCCTGAATTTGAATGAGATCTTTCAATTCTTTCATAAGCAGAAAAGAAAAAGGGAGGTTTAATTACTTATTTATTACTATTTTTTCATTTTGTTAAGTTCTGCTAAGTGCTACTGTGGCAAGAAATGCATCTTATGCTACACGCACATAGAGATGCAAAAGTGAGACATTGTCATGTGGTTAATATATTTTGTCACCAGTCAAAAGTCAAAATATACCCTATTGTCCTGTCAGGCTATGACTACATTTGTTCTGTACTTTGTGGAGTGAGATTATATTATTTCATGTATTTATTTTCTTCATCACATAGGTACTGTAACACGGAAAACTGAATTAAATACTGGTGGTGCTCAGGTAACAACATCATGTTTTATTTGTGTAGTAACTAGGGAATATTGCAGGTTACATGAAGGACACTCTATATGTACCTTTTTCCAGCTTCACTCTTATTTTCTTCTTCAACATCAGACACTGCATCTGCAAGCTTGAACTGTGAAGATATTTAAAAGTTATTTTCAGGTACAGAAAAGCACTACTAAGCCTGTTATGCTTTACTCTACAAACTTAAAACTGTTAGTGATCATTGCAAAGTGTGATAAGACAGTCTTAACTGTAGAAACTGTTATTTGGTGTGTAGGACTATTCTTACAACATCTTTGTTAATGGACCTACTGCCTTTATACACTGTGTTCTTTAAAATGGTGATTGTTAATTGGAAAAAAAGACAATGTGACTGTCTTCTCTTTGCTCTCATGATAATCTCAGCAATTTTTACACCCACTGCCTAACTTTAACTGTGCTTGACAAATGTGTGGAACACTAAAAAAGCTATTCCATCAAGTTTAATGTAATTTAAAACAGCACCGAGGAGGAATTTAAGCCTTTTGCTCAGCTCTACACAATCATGGACAGTTAAAAAATCCCCAACAATACGGAGAAAAAGACATCACAAAACATATTTGGAGGAGAGAATCTGAAAAGACTAATACAGAATAAAGTCAGAGAATCCTGGCTTTGTTTCATCCATTATTAATGAAGTAACTTAGGAGTTCATATTCTATCACAAACTGATTATAGCCAAAGAATTAGAGAGATGCATATGCTCTCACTGGATTTCCAAACTTTATTTTACCAGCTCCTGAATAGTTTTAGCATTTTCTCCATGTGTAGTTTTTGCCCTTTTCACAGGATTATTAATTGGAAAAACTATCAAAAAGCATAATCTGAAAATCTCCCTGGATGGTAGAGTACCTGCAGTAAGTGTTCTGCCATCGCATTCCCCCTGCAGGTGTGCACTGCTATTTTCTATCCACATACAGAACAGGTTTAGGTAGGGCTTAGTATGCATTTTGTGGTCTGAGTTTGGGTTGGGTGAAATTATTTCTACATATTTTCTACTGTCCAACACATCACAGAAAAGCAAGCACTAGGACACTGGTTTTATAAAGCCACAAAGCTATGAAACAACCCAAATGGGACTGACCTGGTAATACTGCAACAAGTACCCCACCTTCAGCAAACCTTACAATTTAACAGACCCTTTTTGTCTCTCCAAAAGATCAGCAAACAAAATAGCACTGTTAACTTTGTGAACTCCATGTTAGCCACCCCAATTCCATTTGCTGAAGGAAATGTTTTTCTTCTTTTAAACAATTTTGAAAGGGAAACTGATTCTCTGCTATTTGATTAACTTCCCAATTACTTCCCAATTTTAACCCTGTGAATTTTACAGTTTAACTTATCCACTTAAAACCACTAGCCACTCCTGAAGTAGTGGAAAACAGTAAATGCTATCAGCAACTGCGTATGAGTGGCAGTGAGACGTAAATTCCACATCATTATCAAAGAAGCAAATAATATAAAACTTCAGCAAATCTTAAAAGACCAAGACTTATTATCTAGAGGAGGGAAGACAGAGAAAGGTCAGATAAAGTCAGTAAGCACGAAAATGATTCCCTCTGAACAGCTAGAAATCTTTATGTTAAAAGCTGTTTTGCCCAAGTAATGAAGCCCAGAATGACTCTTCTTCAATGCACAATGGCTGTGCAGCTCCCCAGCTTTCCAACACTGCCCCATCCTTCTGATACTGAGAGGCATTTAACAGCAACACCTACAATTAGGTATGTTATGTAGAAATGTCATACATGCAGAGCAGTACTCATAGGTGTACACTGCAACAGTAATTTTCATACCATTGGGAATACAGCATTACTGCAACAACTGATGTAACAATAGCCTGTTTCACTTCCAATTTGAAGCTTAATTGTTGGTGACAAAAAAAAATCAAGTTCTGTTAAGCAAAGATTACATTGCCAATACACAGTCATGAAATGCTAATATTCTTTCAATTTCAGGAAATTTAAGATTTTGTTGATAAAACAGCATTAGTAGTTAAAATTATGCAATTAGGTGGATTGTAATTTCTTAAACTATTAAGGAGAGAAAGCATAATTTCTCAGTACCTTCTCATCCACGTCCAAACTTGTCAAAAGATCATCTAGTTTGCTCTGTTGACTATCTTTAAGAAAGTCCTCACTAACATCTCCTGAAGGACTGCTTCCTCTGGAGGAGTTGTGGGTCTTCACATCTTCAGCTGAAAATGTATAAATGCATTGCTTTATGTGTTTCCCATGCTACAAAACAACAAAGCTTTTATTTCCTAAATATTACAAAGGCTTAGAACTAATGACATTTAAGAACTCCTAGGACCTCCTAAATGTGAAATTTATATGGAAAAATATTTCATGCTTAAGGCAGGAACCATTTCAAATAAATATTAGGCTGAATCTGCAATTAAAATTCTATCCAAGCTGTATGTTCTTTAATGGTCCCTGTAGAACAGTACAACACATTTACTTACAGAATATAGAATTCAATACTTTAGAAATAAATTCAGTTAAGCTTTTTTTATTAAAACATAGCCAAAATATGAGTGGCAATTTGCTAAGCAAAAATACTTAGTCTTTGTTAGTAAAGGGCATAAGTTAATAATACTGACATGATGCAACCCTGAACTAAATATAGAAAGCTCTGAGCAACTCTAAATTCTTGTAATATAGTAAACTCAGTAAGAATTCAGTGTCAGGAAATCTCAGCACCTTTTGCAGATGCAACAGGAAATGAACGACACACCTGGCTGCAACTTTCTGAAAGGGCTATTTATGTACAACAGAAGAGTTCTGCATAGAAATGAAATTCACTACTGGGTCACACAAATTACTTCCAACTGCACCATGTTGTCCAGACACAGGAAGAAAGAATCAGGTTAGTACTGGAAAGGCTTTCCTCTTATAGTCACTGGTCACTATGATCACCAAGTACAAGACACATCTGGCTGAAGACAACATACACAAGATTTCCACTTGAAAGGTGAAGAAGATTGATGTCATCCAGAATATTTTAACTACAGTGGTTTTTCCTCTTCTTAAATGGTGAAGCCACTAAGGCAAGGAGCCATGACTTCACTAACTTAACACAGGAAACCAAAGCAGTAACACCTATTTCTAAATAAATACATAAATAGTCAGTAATTAGTAAAACCAGGCACCCTTCTTTTGCTCTGTGCAGGTCTTTTTCAAAAATAATATATTAAACAGTATGTTACTTTGTGCATATTCATCTAAGATTATGATGGGATCCTGCTTGTCAGATCTGGGAAGAAGGACTTTAGGCACCACAAAAAGAACCAAAGACTTTCAGCCTCAAACTTTCCTAGAACATGAAGTAAAACAACAAAGAACATGCAGAAGTTACTGAATAGTACAGAACTTGTTGCCAGGTCTGGCTTCAATCACCTCAGCATTGCAGAATGCATGGCAGAGCCCCCCGTCTCTCTCTTACATGACCAGAGGCATAACTGTGCACTTCCTCTTGACTCCTCCTCAATTTGACTCCTCCTCAGGGAATTTGTGTCTATTTCTTGGTATCTGAGCTCTTAAAACCTCATTATCTTTTATTTTGCTTCTAATACCTGAAGCTTGAAATCTTCTCTTCCCCTAATAGCCTCTAGTCTCTCCATTCCAGGAGGCACAATTTGCTGAAATCACTCTTTCTATGTGAACATAACACATTCATGTGGAAAACCAGCACAAGAGGTACTGTCACAGACACCTTTCAAGCCTGAAGCAAAATCAACACGTAACGTCAGAATGTAAGATTAACAATAAGCTGATAAACTGATACCAGAAGAGAAACACCATGAACCTCCAAAACCAGTCTCAGCACTCTCCATGTTCACCACTGTCAGTAAAGGGCTTCTACTGAAAGTCAAAATCCCATTCTTCCAACCTATCTAGTACAAATTTCTACATTAGGTATGCCCTGGTATACCAGTAGCTCTGGCATGCAAGCTGTAGAAAACAAAATAAATCACATTCATGTACTTCCTAGCTGGACTGCTCTGCTTTAAACAGGAAAAAAAACCCCACCAAATCAGAATTAACCTTACTTTGTTAAAAAAGGACATCCTTTAAAAACAAAACACTGTCTCCGTGGAATGGGAATAGCATCCACAAAAAGCCCCAAAAGGATGACCTGGAAACAAACCTGACTACAAAATTCTGTGTGCTGACAAACACAACAGAACAACCACATCTAACTCTGACCTAAACTCCAAAGCACTATTACAGGACTCAGTTTCTTACTATGATCTCAACAACTAAAAGAATTCTTTGCCTAAACTGTCAGAGAAATGTCAAAAAACCCTACAACCAAAATCAAATAAAAAAGCCTCACTCCAACCCACTAGTCCTACCAACAGACAAGTACTACAGAGAAATACATGTTCCCTGTATGACTCAGGCTGGTGTCATTTTGAAAGATGTTGACTCAATATGCATTGGGAAACGAACTGCTGCAACAATAAAAAGATAATACAAAACAAGGTGTGGTTGTGTTTTTGTTTTTTTGTTGGGTTTTTTTTTTGTCTTTTTGTTTTGTTGGTTTTCTTTTTAATTTTGTTTGTTTTGTTTTGTTTTGTTTTGTTTTTTTTTTTTTTTGGAAAACAGAAAGCCTTGGTTTTGTCACATCTTTTTTGGTTTTTTCTTCTTTTGATTACATAGCAAAAATTTCCAGAGACCCTTACCTTTTAACACCAAATTACAGGAATTTTCAGTATCACTTGACTTTCCAGATTCTTGCATGCATCTGTTTTGAACAAAAAGTGTACTTAAGATTTCCATCTTGCACAAAAGCATAATAATCTATCAGTTACATAAAATCAAAAGTTCTCAGTAACACTTTTAGCCATGGACAGAACACGTACAACCAACACACTGTTTTAAGACTCTTTCTAACTTTCTCTTTTGGCTTTCTTATGTTCATCCCTTCAGATGTACACCTAAACATGTTAAGTAAAACCAAGACATTTCAAAACCCAAAATTTTCAGTAAAAGCTCATGATCTCATTTAATCTTTGCCTAAAATACTGGGAAGGGAAATTTTCTCTCTATAGCAAATCAAGAAAATACTGTGCTAATGAGCCAATTCATCAGTTTCAAAAAAATGTGATTTATAGTAATTTTACACTCAACATCATTTGCTTAACAATGAATCTTAAAAAGAGTAACAAAAAGAACTGTTCATAGGAAGATACTTAATTCACTTAATTCAAAGATAAGGTAGGATAAAATAAATACTTCTCCTTAGAAAAGCACAGGAGGGACAAATATCTTAAATTTTACACAGAACATATAAAACATGATCATGATCATCACACATTTTAGAAACTTGTACCTGGTGAATGGCACCAAGTGTAATGACAGCAAGCTGTCCAGTCAAAGCAACAGAAAATGGCAAACAAAAGCATACGTGAAAAATTAGTTTTACTGCCTCATTCAGGCTTCAGGTCAGAATATTTTCCTGATGCTCAGAAGTGACCAGCACTCTTCTCTTCATAAAATGCAAGCACAAGAGAAATAACCTGTTGAAGTCCCAGCTGTATTTGGTAAAACTCAAAAAAAAAACCCTCAAAAAAACCCCCACACAAAATAAAAAAGTATGAACTGGCCACGATCTGGTATTATCTGGTGATATCATAAGTTACCTGATAAAACTGTGGTAAGGTCTATTGTCTTATTTCAATATTCTCATACTGAATCACAATATTAATATAAATAATATATATTAATATATTCTCATATTGAATCATAATATTAGTATGTTCCTGACTGCTACCAACTATGTTTAATCATCATCTAATAATATTTGCATCAAATTATGGAAGGTAAAAAGCAAAACAAGAAATTTTGCCTGTTTCTTTAGCAAATCGAGGGGAAATTCTAAGAAAGAAGAACCATGCATTTTTATTTTTCTTGGCTAATGGCAAACAAATTGAACAGGTCTCAGAAAGAAATGAATGCTCCTTCTAATATATTTACTATGCTACAGCTTAGGTGCTTCTCAAGAAGTTGGATGCTCCTACTACAGACTTGCCCTGCTCTCTTAAGGCTTGTTTTATTCTGTTAACATCTAAAAGTTTTATATTCTCATGTTCAAAAAAGTGTTGAGCACCTCAAAGAAGATTCCCTTCCTCTTTTGTACACAGCTTTAATGAAAAGGAAAGGATAAGGAGAGCAGTGGGTAAAAAAAAAAAAAAAAAGAATGCAGTTATAAGGTGGTACAATCCTGAAAATAATTGAAGTGTTACTTAAAATACAGGTAATATAAAGCCACCTAGAAAGACCACACAAAGAAACTTAAAACACCCATCCCAATAAAAACCCTGATCTTCAGAGGAAAATTTTGCATTATTTCTATCTAAGCTTTTTTTTTTTTAAATGAAAAATTCAATCTTAAAACCTTTTCACTGAACACAAGTATCAAAGCTTAAGAGAGAAAACAGACTAAACAATAGATGAGTTGATTCCAAGAAGAATTACTATCTCATTTGTGACTTATTATCATCTGAAAACCCAGCAAAACATTAACACTAATGATTTACACCAGGAACTTGCTGAATGAAGATGCAGGATGATAAACCTCTACAACACCTTAGTCAAACCACACATCTGAAAAATATTCACATGTCTGGAGATAGGAGAAAAAGAGGGAAGAAGAATGGCAGAACAGAACACTACTATAGTGACAACCATTTACTCTTACAGATTCAAGAGAAAAATAAGCTACACCTAAAAAGTAAAAACATTTCTAAATATTATACCACTTTACAACTAAGAAAACTACCTTCAAAGGGATATCTGCTATCTCAAATCAAGAATATTATTTTTAATTATCTTTGTTTCTATTTTTATATTTCACTTCATTTAAACAAGCCCTTTAGGACTACCTTGTCCTACAATTCACAGTTTATCCCAGCTCTTATGAAGAACAAATTAATGTATTTGCATTCAGAATACTGTCATAGCTCAATCAAACTTACACACTCAAAATCAAATAAAGAAATAATTTCAACAGAAATTAGTGAAATTCTCTAAGGAAGCTTGACCACTACAACCAAAGCATATGGAAATGAGATAAAAGTACTTAGGAATATTGTGATAAAAAAATAATTATATGCATACCTAAAACTACTCTCTACCGAATATGTCTTTTCTGAGGTAACAGGAGACTCAGGCTTAATATAGACCTTTGTGTCTTTACTGCAGTTTGCAGAGGATGCTTTCACTGGACAATTTTCACAGCGTGCAGGTGCAGGCTCCTCTTCATTACTGGTTCCAAAAAGGTCAGGGTCATCCTGAATCACATCAATGACAAGAACATCTTGGTTGTAAGCTTCAAGGACATCTGGTAAATTCTGACTTTTGCATTGTGAAAAATTCCCTCTTGATTTTCTATCACCCTTTATTTCTAATCCAACAAGGTGGTCGACTGCATTCCAAGAATGATCAGGAAAACTAGATTTCAGCACACACTCAGTACCATAGAAATCAGGCACAGATGGCTCTGGCTGTCCATCAAGAAGAGGATGTGGGTACGTAGAAAAACTTTCAGGGAGCACAGACATCTCATCAGAGAGGTTTACAGAGCCATTATGCTGGAAGTCCTTACTATCAATCTCATCTGCTTTTTTCTGTATGGAAACTGGAGATGTAGCATCACTCATGACAGCAAGAGGACGCTGCTCAGATTTTACCAAGACAGTCTTTTCACCTGTCTTCTGCCTTCCTTCACTGGTGCTTTCAAGAAGCTGCAGTGGACTACAAGTTTTGCTTTGAAATGAATGGACAGATTCCCGTTTCTTGGATTTAGGTTTGTTTCTACATAAAGGAATTTTGAATTTTGTCAAGTTTCCAGAGGTTAATGGTTTAATTAGGTTTAAATCAGAAAATGTCTGGTTCCCTACTGATACTTTAGGGCTGAAGTTTATACTGTTTGTGTTACTTGCAAAAGTACCACTCTGGATTGTCACAGACAGGTTTCCACTTGTCACACCTCCTTCATTTTCATCCTTTTGTTCTGTTATACTGTTCTGGACCATCACAGGCAGGTTTCTATTTGTCACATCGCCCTCATTTTTTTCCTTTTGTTTTGTCCTACCATTCTGGACTGTCACAGACAGGTTTCTGTTTGTCACCTCTCCTTCATTTTTATCCTTTTGTTTTGTCGTGCCATTCTGGACTGTCACAGACAGGTCTCTGTTTGTCACAACTCCTTCATCTTTATCTTCTTGTTTTATTGTACCATTCTGGACTGTCACAGACATGTTTCTTTCAATTACATCTCCTTCAGCTTCATCTCTTTGTTTTGCTGTAAAATTCAAGTTTGCTTTAACTTCTTGCACATCATCATGGTCAAAAGCCACAGCACTTTTATCTGTATTAACTGGTGATTCCCCATTTTCATTGTTCATTGTCAAAGTCTGATAAATATCCACAGAAGAGGATTCCATTGTTTCAAGTGAAGCCTGACAGTCAATATTTGGATCAATCTTATTATGTGTAATTTCTTTTCCAATTTCTGCCAATGATGTATGCAAATCTAGCTGTCTCACATTCCCAGTCACTGCACTATGTTCCACAGCTTTCACAGTGCTTTTATCAGAGGAATCCTCAAAAGCAGCCTTTAAAAGTCTTTTTCCTTCTGAGATGAACCTATGATTTTTAAGAAACCATTCAGAAGTCCTGGCACAAGATTCAACAGGCCAAACTTTTTTACCAGTCATGGGTATTGTTCTTTGACAGGTAAACTGCTGCAATTTCTTAGTAACTTTGTTCAAATTTCCTCCTGTCTTGCTTTTTTGACGATCAGAAACACCACGGATCTGAGCTAACGCTCCAAGACTATCTGAGGCAGCTGCATAATGTGCCATACTGCTTGAATTTTCTCCTTTTACTATTGCAGAGAGCTCAGATGTCTTCTTAAAGCCAGTTTCAAATGCAAGTAATTTGGTAGTATTCTTTCTCCAGGCTGATACAGTTTGTACTTCCTGAGTATTTTTTTCTGTATCAAAATGTGATGTATGATCACATGAAGCTGAGAAAGTATGATTTAGTCCTGAACCTGAAAATGAGCTTGACACGAAAACTGCTGCTTCTGTTTGTAACTCACACTTCTTGCATTTACTAGCCACGTCTGCAGATTTCTCTGTGATTTTCATCTTTTTTCTAGGCTTTCTACCAATATTACACTTTTTTCCCCTTAAACACTTACTGCTTTCACTCAGGCAGCGTGAAACACAGCCTTTTTCATTTTCATTCTTTTCTTTATTAGGTGATAAACCACCTTTTATGAGAGATCTCTCATTTTGCACTCTACTAGTGCTGCAAATTCTGTCATTCAGGTCTCCAGTACCATGGGTTACATGGAAGAATCCATTTAACTTGTAACTGTTGGTAGTTCCACTAGCTGAAGGCTTCACTAAGGTATTGATGTAACTACAGTCCTCCAATACCACAAATGGATTCTTTTCAGCTGCACAGAGCAAGCCACTACAATGGTTTAGGACATTACTGCCATGTTCAGCACCACATTTTGCAGATGTATTCATCACCTTTCCAGCTGCAGTCCCACTTAAACTTTGCAAGTGCTTGATATGACCAGATCTGTGTTGCCTTTTTCTATACTGCACACCAGGCTCTTCTGTCACAGCATGGCCTAGAAAGCTCTTGCTTTCAGTGTCACCTGAAGTAGAAACTGTAGAAGATCTAGAATAGTGAGATTCCTTTTCCTTAGAATCTTCTACCCTGTTTCGCTTTGTCTTAACCTTCTTTACAGCCTGTGAAGTACCAGAGTCTTGCTCAATTGCTTTCAACTGTTCCTCTGCTGATTAAAAAACCAAAGAAGCGTCATTAAAGAAAACTCTAAGAGAAAAAGACTACCCTATTTCATAGAGAACCAAAACCCCCAAACATTAAAGGCTGCTAAAGAACATGACACTGTATAAGGCTAAAATATTTCTGTGAAGTTTTATGATTTTTTTTTTTTAATGAACACTTTTGGGACACTTAGAGTAAAAAGGATGTATTACCTTCAGGAACAAATGCAAAGTGGAACAGAACCAAACAGTGTCACAAGGACACTGGAAGTTGTGTATTTGTTGTGTATTCCACGTAAGTGGAAAACAAGAGCAAATCTGGCAAGAAAATACAGATGCTGTTTGCACGCTCAGCCTTAAAATCTCTTGTTTACACAACAGGTTCTCTGCAGTAGGAACACTTATTAATATCTTTCAGAGACACAGTCCAACCAAATGCATCCAACTGATCAAGAAAATCCAGAAAAATTGAAGGACTTGCATTTTTAGAGACTACTACTTTTTATTTAAAAGCAAATACAGATTATGTAAAGAACTGTATATCTGAAAATTTAGACTAGAGAATGGACTCAAGAGCATACTAGTATAATGCCGTTTTTTTTAGACCTTTGTTTTCAAGGTAAAACACAAGGTTAATACCTCAGTCTTTCAGAATATGTTTTTTAGATAAAGTATTAATGATCTACAGTAAGTATATGTCATTTGAATGTATCCACTTCAAAAGTAAAAAGAATGGTTTTAGACAGTCATCCTGAAAAGAAAGAGACCTTAAAAACTCCTCTTTCAGAATTGTTCCAGTTTGACTCAACATTCTCTTAAATTCATCAAAACACAATCATTGTTTGTGTTCTTCTACATCTTTGGGGATTTTTCAGAAAACAGCAACTAAAAAATGCTGTTTTTTAGAGAGCAAACCCCAGCATCCTATAAAGGCAGACACTGAAACAAGATATCATCATACATCATCAAAAATAAACAGATGAATGAGGAATTAACTGTCCTTTATTCTGGCATTGCTGAAACTACTGCCCCCTTTCTTGCTAGTGGCTGACCACCTCTGCAGAAACAGGGAATGCTTTTGAGAGACATAAACTCCCAGCACTCCCTCCCAACGCCTGTTGCTATCCATACCCCTTCCTCTCTCTCTCCCTCCCCACACCCCCTTGAAAGGCTAACTGGTCTCCTCTCCTTCATGTTAAAACAGGCTGCTTTTCTCCTTCAGGAAAAGCCTTTCCTCTTTCTGAAAATCTGTCTTCTTCTAAGACTGGTGGTATTCACAGCACTGTGAAACACACCCTAGCTTTTCTCAAACTAAGTCAGCAGCCAGTTTTTAAAGGGATCTTACTGCAGGACCAATTTGGGAGCCCAAATTCTGTACCTGTACTTCTACAATGTGCTTACCACTTTCTCCTGGGCTGTCTGGTCGCTTCTGAGGGCTTGAGCTCTGCTGCTCTTCTTTCAGGCAATGCTTCTGAGTCTTTCTTCTGGTTGTTGGTTGTTCTTGTCCACTCAGATCCTGCAGCTGCTGTGACAGCAAGGCATTTCTGTTCCTCATACTCTGAGCTCCTTTCCTGGACTCTGGACATGGTGCACGCTGTTTAAGCAAGGCAGAACAACCCCTCTCCTTGGGACCATGTACTTTTGGTTTCCTCACTGATCTGCCTTTCTTGCCCAAGCATCTCCCTTCTTTTTCCTGTGTCCCTAGCGCTCTTGATCCAACTAACAGACAGCCATTCAACTTCTCTAGTATATCAACCTCTTCCTGAGGTTTTGGTTCAAGGACAACTTCCTGAGCACCCAAATTCTTCCTAAAATCTGGGATTTGCATATTCTGCATCATCGTAGAGTCAGTACATCTCACTTCAGTACTCCATGTGACCTTTTTGGGTTGAAGAACTTCTGGCTCTGGAAAACCGGATATTCCGTGTCTCTCTGTGCTCTCAAATTCCCTCTTCAAGTTTGGGACTTGTAATTTTATTTCCATACAGGAATGTTTGCCTTCTGTTCCTGAGCTCCCTGAACCCTTGTGGAAACCTGAGAAGTTCAGGTCTTCTGAGCAACATTCATTCCTTTCAATCCCTCCTGAGAACTTTTTCTGCAAAGTAGTTCCTGAGAACTGGAACGGCTGCTGACTTTGACCTGTCCCTCTCAGAGTCACTTCCCAGCACATTGCTGCACCCGGGGCTGCTGCTTGCCAATCTTCACACTCAGCTGCGTCTGAAACTAGTGAAGCTACACCCTTGCTTCTTCGGGGAGACTTCCTGTGCTGGATTCCCTTGGTTTTTTTACGTGGGAATTTCTGTCTGTTCTCACCTTGCTCCCTCTGCATGGGCACAGGAAAAGCACGACACTTAAAGGAAGCGCAAGAGAGCCTGGCAGGTTGCGGAAAGGAAGGCAAGGGCTGCTCAGGCTTTCTCTTTGGTGCCAGACGACGACTCCGCAGGACCACCAGCTCTCCCTCCGGCTCGCACCCTGCCGGCGGAGAGGCGGGGCTGCCGACCTCCGGCTCAACCAGCTTCACCTCGCTGCTTCTCACCACCTTCCCTGACCTCAACTGCGGCATCTCGGTGGCGCAGAGACAGCGACAGAGCCCAAAATCCCGCTGGCCAGCGCACCTTTCGCTGCAGCCTCGCTAGCCCGGCACGCACGGTGGGTGCAGGCCCGACCGGGCAGCGGCACAACTCCGCCCAGGCGGGGACACCCCGGGGCGCCCACACCGACAGAAAGGAAGCCCAGGCCGCCCAGAGAAAAACCACGGCCACCGAGAAGCCCTTCCTCACACCCTCACTGCCCCCGCCCCCGAACGCACACCCCGAGCAACCTCTCACAGACCAGGGCGCTGAAGGAAGCGGCCCCGCGCCTCTTCATACTCAAGAAGGCCGCTGCCTGCAGCCTCCCGCGCCGCTTTCCCACCCTCTCTCGCTCCTTCGCTATCTGCCCTCGTCTACCGATCCGTTCCCCTCGTCCAAGCGCCGCCAGCCCGCCCAAAGAGCCGAGCTGCTGCCGCGCCGGGGAGCAGCGGTGGTGCGGCGGCGTGAGGGCGGCTCCGGGCGAGGCGAGGCGAGGCGGGGGGCGGCGGGAACACCCGCCGGGCTGCGCTCGCTCTCTCGCCGGATCAGCGGTGCCGCCTGCGCGGTGAAACCCCAGCGCTGGGGGTGGCGAGCGCGGCTCCTCCGGGCGGCCGTGCTCCCGTGTCGGCAGCCCCGGCCGGGCGGGAGCGCCTTGGGTTGCGCTGCGCAGCCGTCGTGCTGCCCGCATGGTGCCCGAGGTGCCCCGCGGGGCTGCGGGCCCGGCCGTGGGCCCACGGCCGCCCAGGGTACCGGGCTTCGGTGTGGAACTGCCAGAGCCTGTGAGCAAACGCCCAGCTCGCCCCGAGCTCGGAGTAGCGTGGGTAAACACCCAGGTTCGCCCATTTTGTCGGGTGTTCCATCCCTCTCAGTGATTCCTTCTTTCGGCACAGCGCTTCAGAAGGTCGCCAGCACTGAGAGGCCATGCGGTTGTTTCATGGAATGGCAGAATGGGTCAGGTTGGGAGAGACCAGAGTGGGGTCACCTGGTCCAACATCCCTGCTCAAGCAGGGCCATCCCAGAGCACATGGCACAGGATTGTGTCCAGGCAGTTCTTGAGTATCTCCAGTGAGGGAGACTCCACAACCTCTCAGGGCAAGCTGTTCCAGTGCATAGTTACCTGCACAGCAAAGATGTTCTTCCTCACGTGCCAATGGAGCTTCCTGTGCATCACTTTCTGGCTGTTGCCTCTTGTCCTATTGCTGGGCACCACCAAGAAGAGCCTGGCTCCATCCTCTTGGCACCCCTCCTTTGGATACTGGCAGACATTGATGAGGGCCCCTCTCAGCCATCTTTTCTGGAGGCTAAATAGACCCAGCTCTCTCAGTTTTTTCTTGTAAGAGGGATTTCTAGTTCTGTGATCAACTTTAAAGCTCTCCACTGGACCTAAGAGCTCCATGTCTCTCTTGTTCTGAGGACATCAGCTTTGTATTTCAAATAACACAGTTTCTTAGGCCTTGAGTTAGGGGGAGAAAATCACTCAAAAAGATTATATAGTCAGAAAACAGTAGAAGTTGGTGTTTGGGCTCTGAATGGCAGTGATAGTTTCAACACAGGTGGAGAACAACAAAGCTTCAGAACCATCCACTGCATGATAATGTGAACAAGTAGAACTTAGCTTAAAAAACCAATTTTGTACAAAGTCTGAATCTAAGTGACAGGTGCTATGGAAATCCTGAATTACTAAACCTAATAAAGTGGTACTCTAATGCCAATAATGCCATCAGCAAAATTGCACATGGTTGGTAAATGACTGTGTCCTACAAGCAGTTCCCTTGTGTTTGCCTCAGCTGGTCTCTGAGGGATGAAATACCTCACTCAAATTCATTTCACCGTGGCTTAGTGCCTTCTGGTGTTCCCATTTCATACATCCTAGTTTAAGATCCATGCAAAGAAATAAGGTGCTTTATATCACAACTTGCTAGAAGTGCAGTACTGTGAAGTTAAAAGAGTAGTTGGAAAGGTGTATTTACTAATTGGCATTGGCTCACTATATGACTTCAGCCCACGTAACTCACTTAATCTCTGTTTCTCCATCCAGAGGTAGAGATAAGACATTTCAGTCCAAATAAAGACAGAGAACATTGCATTTTTGCTAAAATCTCTCCACAGATGAAGAAAGAACAACAGGGAGGCTGGGAAACTGTTAGCTTTAATTTTCTTATGGTCTTTTTAGATTGCACATACATGCTGAAGTACAAAAAGTCAGAAAATTACTAATTAAAGCTAATTAAAGCAGAAAATACAGATTTCTTAGGCATTTTCTCCTGCAGATCAGTATTGTGCTTCTGGTCCTTGGGACAGAAGGGACCCAATAAAAGGGAGGTAACTGCACAATATTTAAGATTGTCAGTGTTCTGCACGGCTGCTATTACATAAAACATTCAGCTCTGGTGACATTTAACCATTTAACCTTTCATTTCAAACTTTGTTCAGTGTGTAACAGTCTTTTAAGTTTTATAGCATGATGAAGATATGCTGAAAAGCTGTAGTAAAGGAAATCTGGAAAAAATGGCATATGAATGATCTTACTGCTAGCTCTAATTTTTAGGATGTTAGTATTTAGTCAGTTATTTGCAATGATGAGAAATCTCCTCAGACCAGATTTTTTGAAATGAATAAAAATCTACTTGAAATGAATACTAATTAAAGGCATTCTTCATTAAAGTACTTTGAAAAAAGCACTAGAGCTTCAGAAAGGACATTTTGAAGCAGCTGTGGATTATGTTAAAAAAACAGATTGCATTCAATTTACAATACTGCTAAAAAGAGGTGGTATAAACATTGTCTTGCAAAGTGGATCAATTTAACCATCTTTTAAAAATACTTGAAAGATAAGAGAATTTTAATATATAGGCATATTTAAAGAAATCCTGTGTCAAGTGTTTATTAAAACTGTAGGTTATTAACATGGAAAAAACTTTGGAAAAAATAATATAAACAGCTTAAGGATGAAAAATTAGTTATTTTCACATTCCAACAACATTTGAATTACTAATATTGCAAGGAAATGTTTAAACTTCATTTTAAAATTATATCTTGTTTAGAAATAAAGATAAATTCTTGTTCTTCTTCAGTTTTATAGTTATCCCAATGCCATATCTAAATTTTAGAACTAATTCAACTTTTGCTGATCCATTCCTTTGTTTCACTGATTTCTTGTTCATTCTAGACACTTCAAGACAGTAACAGAAAGATGAGGTACCAGGTGTCTGAAAACAAAAAGGCAATTGTGGTGCCCAAAATATTTTCTCCCCCAGAATTACCAGTATACTTAGAGATGGCAATTTCAAGTGGGAATTTTCAAGTGGGAAAAAGGAACTTGTGTGGCTACATTTATGTAAAACCCATAAATTTTTTTCTTTTTTGTTTTCTCAGAGGAGTGTGTGCACTTATCTCTCCAACTGATGTAATTTACATTGCTGCTGTGGAGAAATTGTGGCTGCAGATCTAACAATGATACATTTGAGCAATCTTCCAAAAGTTTTTGAAAGATTGAAATTTATAAACACATAATCCAGCTGCATAGGTGAGACGATCATATAAATTTTTTATTGGGCTGTATTTTAGGCTTTGCTAATATACTCACCTAGCAACAGGAATTAAACTGTCTTTTTTTTTAGCTAGGGAACTGGAAAGAATTAACTTGAAAATGAACCTTTTTTTAGTGAAGCAATGTGAAAAATGTCCCCTTGGACCACTTCTTTTTACACTGCTCGCATCTTTATGCTTGGCTGAGGGATAGAGTTGTTATGTCTAGCAAACCATGGTGAAAAGAGTTTGGCTGTGCTGTAATAACTGAGACTGAGCTCTGAAGAGTGTGTCTAGTCTGTTGCGTTCTTAAAACACACCAAATTAAGGTCTTAAGTGATACAACTAAAAAGAAAAAGATAAGATTTTCAGTCTGGTATGTCTAAGAAACTATCCTTTTATAACCCCATGGATTTATTAACAGTTCTGAGCTATTGGTTTTGCAAAGTTAGAACCCAAAGATAGTAAACATTGATACGATTTTTAAGTAACTTCTTTATCCCTTGTTTTCTGTTCAAATACAGGGGTGCTTTGGAAATAGATGTATTGCTAAACTGTTGAAGTAAGAAGTTGCTCTTTCTCTCAAGCCATTCATGTATATCTCTCTAAAATTGCTTTTGCTTTTCACTACCAGGCTCCTAAGTCAGGAGCCACCTGTGACATGGCATCTAATGAGAATGCTGCTAACTGCCCCTGTATTGGTTTGAGGTACAGTGTTCATGGTCAGCTCATGTCCTTGGTGTCTCCCCTGTGTGGGTGTTGACCCAGTTCATACTGACAGCTCTTTCCTTGTCTGCCCTGACACTGTGAACTCCATCAGACAAGGGCCAGTAGGGTGGGGAGAGTAAAGACACCTTGGTGGAAATGCATGGTCTGTTTTGTGCAACTGCTGAGTGATTACACTACGTGGCAGGCTAGGTGAATCCAGTGAGTAGCTGAATACCTCAATCTTTATTTTCATGTCTGTTTTTATTATACAGCTGTACAAGGCAGATTAAAGTAACTTCATTTTCCACCAGTTTAAAATGAGTCATTGGAGGAAAAAGGACAGCTGCTATATTTTGTAATGAACCATCTGGCATTTCTTGGTAGATCCTCTGATTCCTAATTTGCTACTGAATTGTGACAGCAAGAAAATCAAAATTATTGATTGTATGGAATCAGTATTTCCCTCTGGCAATTCTGTTTCTGTCAAAGGATAGTCATAGGCGGGATAAGAACCTGTCACACTGGGTTTTGCAAGCCTTGAAAGTCATCTGTATAATTTGCCTTTTTTTTTTTTTTTTTTTGGTAACTATTCTGCTTGACATTTATTCTGGAAGACTGACTTTCCAGATGATCACATCTGATCTGAACCTTACAGAAAGTGGCAGTAATAGGTTTTAAGGCTCCACAAGGGAGCTCCTTTGTAAAGTTTGTATTCTGTTTTACTCCCTTTCATTCATGTATCTTTAGAAGTTTAAGAATAAGCTACCTACCTATCTGGAATTAGAAATAAAAAAAATACACAAGCAATATGGGATTAACTAGTCAAGTAGAGAACTACACATTCAGTATTGATTTATTTTTATAATTCTCTAAATAAAACATATCTTTGCTTTCACGTAGATAATACATACCATGCACCTACCACTAAGTCTGCCTTTAGAATCAACACCTTCTAGTAGCTGGATGAAAAAGATGGAGTTAGGAGGAAAGCATCTGCACACAGCAAGTACGTGACACCTCCATCTTGCTGCCAAAAAAAGATTATAAAATGTGATTTCTTGATGAGAAAGTTAAAAAAAAGGAAAAGAGGAAATTAAAGTTGAGTACATCAGAGCTAGAAAAGGCATTGGATTACAAATGGTAGGGGTGCAGTAAGGTATAGATAGAATGCAGTAAACTAGTAGATAATCAGGGAAGACAGTGCTAGACAGAACACAGACAAAAAAAAAACAACCCCAAATGGCTTCAGAAAACCA